CCTGGGGCTTTCAACTGGAGCTATCACATGGTCCAGGGCTGGGGAAGACCATGCTCAATGGGAAAAAATTGCACAGTCGCATTGTACCCGATACCAGTTGACTCCATCATTGTCAGGGCTGCTGCCTACCCAAAAAGAATAAGTTGTCGGTGTTCCAACTATCTGTGGGCACGCGCCTAGACTCTGCTGGCCTGGATGTACACGTGAGGTAAGAATTAGTTACTATCAAGTCACAATACAAAATAAATGCAGATCCCAATGAACCTCTCTAGTCAGCATTTGTGTCATCACGATTAACATGTCTGTCACGCAGTAGCGCCTGTGCGAAGTCTCGAAACTTTTCTTCATCCAAGATGAAGTCTATATCCTGCTAGAACAGAAATACACTTAAGACAGGTGAAAGGCAGCTGTGTGGGAATGGCAAGCGTTATTTGCAATGAGATCTCATTGTGTTCACGGCGTTTCGCCTAGACCGACTGAATAGATTCGGCCCTGTCATCAGGCAATCAACAAGAGCTCATCCGCTACAGTCTGGACAAATGTACACAGGAAGGCAATGATAAGACAGGAGGTTCAGCGTGGAGGGGAGCTGCGGATGTAGGTCCTAACGACAAATGGAGCAATTGACGGCAGTTGTCAGTTTCAACTCAGAAGTGATTAAAAAGGAAAGACGAATAATTGATAAGTATAAAGAGATACTTGCACAACGTACATGCAGCTATTAGCAACTAAGCTACTCTCCGGCCAATAAAACCCACCTGTACAGGGACCCTGTTATACGAGCTATCGGCGCATCACCCGTCATGCCTTTCGGTCAGAAGCGATACATTGAATCACCAACACATAACTAAAACACGAGCGTTAACTATAATTAACGCTGTTCATACCCGTAGTCGGCCTACCCCCTGGGAGAGCGCCAACTTACTGTAGATACAGACTGCCAACCGCTCCGATAGGTACGCCCGTATGATCTAAACCAAATCGAAGCCGACAAAAAACGAGCCTCCCTGCCGGGCCTCGTCGGGCGCCCGCGCTCACCGTATACTTATCTGGCCTGATGGTGCCAAGGACCGACGCAATATTTTATGCATACCTGTCCGCGGCGGGTAACTGCGGGGGGGGGGCGGGGGGTGGCGCCAGCCACTCGCGACTATTCACTCGGACTCCGGTCCACACCTTCATTTGCAGGTTTATCTGACTCGGAAACACGACTATCCAAATTCCTGATCAGTTCTACTAAAGTCACCTGCTACAAAATTCATTTTTTCCGTTCGGGCTAATTTTACGTGCGGTGTGGTGCTAGAGTGTTCTAGACCTATAGTGTTACTCTTGCGGGTGGTGTAGAGGTGTCTAGACTATAGTTTTACGTGCGGGTGGTGTAGAGGTGTCTAGACTATAGTTTTACGTGCGGGTGGTGTAGAGGTGTCTAGACCAGTACTATTCAACCGGGGTAAACGGTGCACCCAAGGGTGAATAAAATTTGGATTGGGGTGAATGGGGAAGATAAGGTGAATACAGGTGAATGAGATTTAGGAAAGAGAAGGTGGACAAGCTTGCTCTGTCCGACACTACCACTCGCTGCCGGTGCAAGATGGTTGCCGATGACTTGAAAGATCAGCTTTTCAAGAAACTACACCAAGCTGTCTGTTACGGTCTTCAACTTGATGAGAAGACAGATGTAGCAGGCGAAGCGCAGTTGATCGTTTATTGCCGTATCCCCGACTTGGAAAAGGGAACTCTCGTCAACCACTACGTGTGCTGTGTACCGGTAGGAGTCGAAAACCACTGCGCAAGCAATTTTTGACAAGCTGACTGAGTTCTTGGATGAAGGGGATGTGCAATTGGATAAATGTAAGGCTATGACCACAGACGGAGCAGCGGCAATGACTGGACGAGTGAACGGGCTTGTCCAAAAAACCCAAGCTGTGTCGCCAACTTGCGTCGCCACACACTGCATGATTCACAGAGAAGCCTTGGCTGCAAAGCCGATAGGATCGGACAAGACCGAGAAGAATGAACTTGAATTGATACTGGAGGACGTTGTGAAGATCGTGAATGCAGTGAAAGCCAACACGAAGAAGCATCGGATGTTCAGTAAACTTTGCAAGGACATGGATGCCGAATTCTCGAAACTGCCCTACCACAGTGGCGTTTGCTGGTTACCAAGGGGGAAGGTGCTGAACCGAGTTCTGGCTTTGTGATACGAATTGACAGTATTTTTCATGGAGCAAGCAGACGAGAAAACTGTGCTGTTTCAAGATGACTTTTGGGTTTCCAGGCTGGCCTATTTGGCTGATGTCTTCGGCCACCTGAACAAGTTGAATCTTTGACTCCAAGGAAATGGCGGCGACGTGTTTATTACGATTTCCAAGGTACAAGGCTTCGAAAAGAAGATCGAACAGTGGAAACGGAGGGCTGAGAATGCTAATTTTTCGGATTTTCATGAGGTACAGACTTTTATGCGAGGATCCAACTGGTGGGTGATGGAGAACGAAGAGAAGTCGTTGCAACAAGTTGTGACTAGATTGGTGGTCGACCACCTCACACTGCTTCAATCGAATTTCAACAAATACTTTCCCGAAGAAGAGAAGTAGAGAATTGCCAAAAAGCAGTGGATAATCAATCCTTTTGTGGCTGACGAAGACGAAAGATTGTGCGAACTGCCGACCGACCTCGTCCAGAAGGTTAACTTCAGAACTTTTGAGACATACAGTGACTTCTGGATATCACATCTACGCATCCCCGAGTACCAGCAAATCGCT